GTATATCAGTAGCAAAATATGTGAAGTCCTACAGAAGATTGAGGGTGGTAAAGTATTCGCTTTGCTGACTGATAATGCAAGTAATATGAAAGCAGCATAGGAGATCATAATGGATAAATAGCCACATATTACTGCAATAGGATGTGCATCCCATGGGCTAAACTTGCTCCTTAATGTCATCATGAAGTTGGACACTTTACAAAATATCTATAGAAGAGCAAAAGAAGTTATAAAACATGTAAAAGCTACTTGTATTGTAGCTGTGGCCTTTACAAAGAATCGGGAAGAAAAGAATAGAAAGAATCAAATAGTGACACTCAAACTCTGTAGTAAAACGAGATGAGGTGGAGTGGTGATCTCATTTGAAAGTTTACTAAAAAACACAGAAGCTCTTCAAGAAACAGTAATAATTGAGGATCTTGACACTGTACTTGATGAGGATGTCTTCTGGGTTCAGCTGCAGAACTCCCTGAAGATTCAAAAGCCAATTTCTGCAACAATCACTTCATCTGAATCAGACAGTGCATTTTTGTCAGACATTCCTTACCAAATGGCCCAGATAAAATCAACTGTTTTTGAGAGTCTAAGTGCATCTATGCTCACAAGTACCGAAGAAAGAGAAGTGAAAGATTTTATTAACAGACGGGAAGATGCCGTCAGTGGCAAGGCGGGGGCTGGTAAGTGGCAACCACCCACAGGTATCAGCTGCAATTCTCTCAGGGGGTGCACTGCCAATCTCAGGGGGTGCATGTGCACCTGTGTGTGCCTCTTATATGTTAGTAATGGCCCCCAGGCCCGGTCCTTGGTATGGAGGCAGTGGTAAAAAGAGGGAAGGTCTGGGTATGAAGTGATGGAAGTGGCAGGAGTCTGGGGGCTTGCGGTGACCAGTGTCTCAGACCAGTGAGGTGACCAGTGTCTCAGACTCCCAGCCCCAGTGTTGACACTGCAGCAGACGGGAGGAGGAGAAGGTGGGGAGCAGTGAGAAGGTGAGTGTGTCCCCCCCTGCACCCCAGTAGGCCCCAGGCCTGCGGGAATGCCCCTCCCCCAGCCCAGATGATGATTGGGTGCCTCCTGCCTCCAGGCCAGTCAGGATGACCCATCCTGCCTCTATGCCAGGGCCCTAGTGCTCTATACAGACTAGACATCTCCTGTGTTGGCCCCTCATTGCCCGCCTCTGGGCCCAAGGACCCTGTTGCCAGGGGTTCAGCCTGGGGTTTGGAGGTCAGAGCTTCTGGCCCAGGCCAGTCCTGCTGGGGACAGAAAGGCCCCACTGAGCCAAGTGTGAGAACCATGTACTGTTCCTTGCTGTGGAGACTCTCCTTTACTCTGTGGTTGTTCTGTGGGTGTGAGCAGAGGGGCTGAGATCCACCCCTGTCCCACTCGCACTAGTTTCTTCTCTCCTGACCTGCACCCCACACTGAGCGTGCCTTGACTCTGCCCCTTCTCCCACAGGTTCCAGATGGCCTGGATCTTCCCCTGCTGTTCTCCCCTCTTCTCATGTCTTCTTGTCTTGGGCCTGCACACTTCAACTAAGGGGCCATCATGACCTTAGGGCTACAAGGAGCCATATCCTATGAACACACCAGGCAGGCTTCCAGCACACCTGAGCTATACAGCAAGGTAGGATGCACAGGTGTGACCAGCAAAAGCAAGGGGCATGGGATGAGCCACTGCTGCATTGCTCAGGTTGTATACCTGTTCAGCTTTCTGGATTTTAAGAGAGTGCCTTTGGCCTAGATCTGAACAATCAGATCTGGACTAGACAGTTCATCCCACTATCATCAAACTGCTGGCAAGATTTTCAAAAGGGCTTAAGCTATTACGAACTTGACATGTCCTGCTTTTTTCCTTATGAGTGAAGCATTCAGTGATTGGTTTAGAATGCCTCTTCCTTCAGGATTTGTAGTTTGAATTTTATTTTTTGTTTTCATTCTAACCTTGGTTTGTTTGTTTTTTTTTCTCTCTCTCCCAATACCTAATTAGGCTGTTTAAAGCTGTTTGGAAAGTATTACAAGTGTCCCTGGAAAAGCAGGCACTCCTTTGAACTGGTTCACAGTGCACCAGTGTTACCTATGGCCTTGCTGTCTGATGGACTTCCTCCAAAGTGTCCAGCTAGAAACTCCATGTTCCCTGGAAATACTTTCTCTCTGCCTTGTGCTCAGAGCACAGATGTGAATAGGGACCTAGACATTTTTGTGGATGGCTCCAACTTTTATGAGGAAGGAAAATGTTCATTTCCACGGGTCATGAGTCAGACAACTCTGGGCAAAATTAATTAACCAGGCTATATGCAGGCTGATCCATCCCGTACTACTTCTCCAACCCCAGTCCCTTCCATTCCCTTTTGCTTGTAGTATTTATAGTGCTAGGAAATCTAAATGTTGAGGTTGCCCACCTCAGTCAGTGCAGAGGTATCATGGCCCTGCCTGGCTGCCCAGTAAGAGCCATTTAATTTATATTCCCTGTTTTGTGATTTTGGACATAAAAGGCAGAAGCAGAATACTTGCGGTCTCAATTCTCACCAGACACCTAGCATAGAAGAAAAGGCAATGTCATAACGCTGAGTTGTCACCGTGGCTAATTACAAGACCGAAGTAGAAGGGGCTGGGCTATAGGGGAGGAAGAGCCCCAGAGGAGTCATGCAATGCTGTTGCACCTGGACCCTCAGGGAACCACTGATCATCACCTCCAGACAAGTGAAAGTTCACTCAGTGGAAACAACAAAGTCATGGTGTGAGTGACCCAAGGGGGCAGGACATGCCTGTGGCCTATCAGCAACTGTGTTGAGCATGAATCTGTCACAAATCCTCTCCCCACTGCAGCAGAAGTCTCTTCCATCTTTGTCCTGTCCCCTTGCTGACACTAGCTCAAGCCCAGGATGATTGCAGTGAGGCCTGGTGGTGGGCAGTGGTATCCTAGTAGAGAATTACAGAGGAATGAGGATGCTGCAGCACTACAGACTCCCCATGCAGTTGGGCTAGGAACAGCAGGATGCCTGATCCAGCCCATTGCATGACTTCCCATTGCATCCAGAGCTGCCCTGTTTCCCAGGGCCAACAATCAAGCTGTCACAGTAAGTCCTCTTTTAACCCTTTCCATGTTCTTTGAAGTGTACGAGAAGTCCTTGAAGGCTGCCTGATATAGGTTGGGATTGCCTTTTTCTGTTGCACCAATGTGGCAGGTAAAGCTCTTCCAAAAATACCCTTTGTTTGTGCTTTCACTGGTCTTTTCATTTTGAAAGGCTCATGTACAGAATGATTGACATTCAAGTAGGGCAGTCATGGTGCATGTAAAGGGTGCATACCATAGTTCCCCACATACAGCATGTGCCAAAATATAATACACACCTTGTTCTAGAAAGCCAGAATGAAAAGAAAGATCAGTATTGCATTACCTAACTAGGGAGCAGCAGCAAGGAGCCTGAGCCTGCTCATTGCTCTGCACCCTGTAAATCACACGAAGATTTGACTTTTGCTTTTTCCCAGTAACTGTCAGAAGCTGCTCTTACCCTGTCTTTCATGTAATGAACAGTGGGATTTCTAGAAGTGGGGTTTTTTTTTTTGCAAAGAAGGGGGTATGTTGTATTTTGAAAAATACAGTACTTCCTTAACAAGCCCATGATCCTGGAGGAGAGGATCTGCTGGGAGAGAGAATGTGACCCAGCGTCTCAGCTCTTCCCAAGGGTCATGGAGAGCTTGAACAAGCACAGTGGGACTAAGCTGAACCTCTTAATTTTGCTATCTCCTAATATGCACTTTGCTGCATGAGGAGTTTGAGTAAGTCCCGATCTCAGTGCAGCACTGCAATTCAGGACCTAAAGCTTTGACCTGGGCAGTTATCCCTGCAGCTGCCATTCCCTCCCTGCAGAAAGGAAAGTATTCATCCCTCGAGTGGGCTGGGGAGGGACACTGGGACACCGTTTGAGCTGTGTCCAAAGCTTACATTGGAAAGGCTGTTGCTAGAGTGGGATAGGAGCTTGTATTTTCTCTTTTGGTGAATATCCTGCTCCAGTTCTGGCCTCTCCTGCAGGCATCAACCCCACACAATCCTTTCCCAAAGCTTAGAGTGACGGGCAAAGTGTCCGTGTGCATGCTTGCAATATGCTGGTGTGACGGGGCACCGAGTTGGGGCACCAAGTCTTCCCTGTCACAGAGCTCCAGAGGAGTGAAGGAAAACAGAAAGCTCACCTTAGCAAGGAGTCCCAGGAGAGCAAGGGGCAGGGATACCTGGATGGAGGAGAGAGACCCCATGAAAACATAAACAAAGGCAGCAAGTGCGGACAGGGAGGGGGGCTGTGAGAGAGGCAGCAGATGTCTGGATGGATTTAAAAGGGAAATAACTCAGAATTAGCTCTGGAAAAGAGAAGAAAGCAATGCAGAATAGGGAGAGACTACAAGAGAGAGACAACAGACGACAGAGGGAAGGGAATGTAAGAAGGGTCCTGGAGAGAGACTTACCTGGGAAACTGAAGTGAGGTAGCGAGGGAGACCCCTGAGTTGGTAAGTTTGATACCTGAAGACATCAGGCAATGTCCCAGAGACTAAAAAAAGAGAAAGGAGTGAGATTGTATGAAGATTAGCAAAGAGAAAAGCACCCCACATTTTGATATCACTAGTAAATGCAAGGTGAGAGAGAGCTGTCATTTGCTCGGGACCCGTGCGGGGGAGAACGGGGCAAGCAACCAAGACATTGAGCGTTCTCAAAGAGCAAGGGAGATAATTATATCTGAGCTGTTAGTTATCAAAGAGAGACATAATAAATATGCAGAAGAAATATTTTTGTTGAACCTCAGACATGATATCTTCTTCATCTCTCGGGACCATGTTTATTTCTGTACCTTATTCCATCAAAGTTGGGGCAGGTGAGAAATAAAGGAAAGGAACCAGTTCATGTTAAAACAAGAGCTTGTGATTTATTTTGCGGGTGTAGCTTAACTCTCACAGCTGGCTACTAACAATGGCTACCAAAAAGAAGCTGCACAGAACTAGCCCACCCAAGTGCCTTGCAGAAAGGGCTTCATTGTCCTGATGTGGAAATCACAGGGGATTTCACTCATACAGGCTTTTTGTTCTACTTTATTTTTCTCTCTTATAGGCGCCTGTCCTCCCTAGACATCTTCATCAGGATCACAACTGTGACATGATGGTAAGAGGCTTGTCTGCTATCATTGACATAGAGAGCGATGCTGTCTGGGGTTTTGTACTTCTGCTAGGGCTACTCATGTTATCAAAGTCAAGAGTGAGCTTGCCAGGCTAAGAGTGATCCAAAAATAAAGATAAAATTGATTGATGGTGGAGTATGCTGATGAAGCGAGACTATTTCATGATGGTGGCAGAGGCAAATGTAGGCTGCAGCAGAACAAGGAACTTCAGTGCTCT